CGTTCGAACTCCGAATTGTTCGAAATTCAAAGCAATTTTTTGCATTAAAAATAATGGAAATCGAATTAATCCATTCCAAAACCCTAAACAATACAATTTCGATAAACTTAAAACAACAAATACACATAATTTAAGGTAAAAAAAAGTAATTAAATGATCTAATAATAAGTTAAAATAGACAAACAATAAATAAAATACGTAATTACTGTATAATAAATTGAAAATTGCATTTACTGGTCGCACACCGTCGACTTCGACGTCTTAAACATGGCCGCCAGACTCGTCACAAGCGTACCGCTTCATGCTTTACGATAACTTCCTTTTTCATCTGAATTGACGATATTACAACCTTCCTCCTTCCTCTTACTTGTTAGACGTCGTTGCTTTTACTCACTTTTGGAATTCCATGACTAATAAGTACAGTAAAGGTGATATTCGGTTAAACACAAATTTTTCGTTACTTAACGTAGATGTGTGATTTAATTATAACAGTTGTGAAATTTAATACGTGATTGCTAGTTTGAGATTGTATTCTTTGTCCAGAAGTGTATTTTAAGCTTCAGATTCATTTTTCACTGAGGTCGAACTTTGAAGCATCGTTCGAACTCGAATTTTTGTTGAATTTGGCGTTCGAATTCTGAAGCGTTCGAAGTACGAAATACTGTATAATCAGATTTCGTGATGATCTTTTAAATTTTCCATAATAGATGATATGAAAATAAAAAAACAAACTTTTTTAAGTATTATAATGTGTTTTAAGATTAAAAATCAGCAAAGATGCAAATATCACCAAGGAATATTAAAATACAGAAGTGTTTGAATTATAACCGAATTCTGTCGTAATTATAACTGGTCGTAAATTGAACATACAAAAAATAATAATAATAAAGAAGTATAGTTCCTTTGCATATAAAAAAAATACCGCATATGTGGGTATATTGCAATCAGAAAATGATTTATTTTTACACTCACTGGTCATATTAATTGAGTTATTAACACATATAGTCTATGGTATTTTAATTAATTAATTATGATATGTCATTAACACAGACTCTCGGAAACAATACGCAGAACAGGATCAAATGCATCAAAATTATACTATGAGAGCCTTGAGATCGTGTGGAATCGATTTTATTTTTATCGTTAATTTTTTATTAAAGTTTTTTTGAATTATCCTAGTGTATGCTTTTTTTTTCAGAAATTTTGCTTAACAAGTAAGATACACTTATTATATATTATGTTATTCTCTTGAGAAAGTGTGAATATGCAAATAATAAACAAATTTTTTATTAAAGTTTTTTTCGCACATCCTAGTGTATGCTTTTTTTTTCAGAAATTTTGCTTAACAAGTAAGATACACTTATTTTATATTATGTTAATATACGTAAGATGTTGAAATTTAATGTACAGGTATCTTTTTGATGAGAGGTTTTTCTCTTTCTCTTTGACGATAATTTTCTTTTTTATATGGTATTATTTCAGTAACTATAATTAATATTTTTCACAGAGAAGAAAATGAATACCTTCTTCTATAATAATTAAATATCAATAAGNTATATCTGCAGATACTGATGAGACGTGTTATGACGAAATTTAGAAAATACTGTTTAAAATATTCAGTTTTTACAACTGTTGTTTTTGAAGTGTTTCCCGTATTTGCATTAATTTATCATTTACTAATAACGGAAAAGTTTTATGGTTTCATAAATGTGTGAGCTCATTGCAAATTACTCTGCACTCCTTTAACAGCATAACTTGTGAAATTGTAATATCAGATAGCCGAGATGGTAAAGGATCAGCATGTTACTCTGAGGTTCCGGATTAATGTCCTGTTCAACAACCTCGAAAAGTTTTTGGGAGGTTTGCTTCAAACACTTCAAGCTTCGTCCCTTAACAGTTGGCTGTCTCCATTGTTGATCAGGTTGAATTCAGGGTTGAATATGATTTTAAAACGTTTCTCTTACTGCCTTTAAAATACAATGGAATGAATAACAAAAAATTATTCGTTAGTAAGAATGACTGATACGCAATAATGTTAAATTACAAAACTTTTTGAATGATGATTACGCAAAATATTCTGTATGTATAACGAAAACATTTAAAAATAACTAAATAATTCCAGAGTTTTCTTCCGTATAAAAGCTTTATTTTGGTGCGTATAATAATTTATCTAATCTTCAACTATTCTTCTTTCAACGAAGAACATTATCTGTCATTTTGTTTATTCTAAGATGTTTACGTCAATGAGAACTTTATATTAACGTTCGAATGTAGAAGCGACTCTAATCGTTAAAAAATGAAGAAAATTATTAATTTTTGTAAGTAAAACATTTCAAATAATTTTTGGAATGTAAATTATTACATTTTAATTAAATTTTAAGAATAATTTTTATAACTGTTGTTATTTATATTTGTCATGCTTTNATCCAAAGTCCTGGATAAGAGGATGATCCTTAAAAAGTTTCATTGCATTTGCATTTAGGAGAAGCCCCGAATGGAGAATCGATGACTCCGTTTGGTCGAATTAACTTCAATTTCCACCCCAAAAGGCTTCCCTTTCTATCTGATCAGCGTGATAGGAAAATTACTTGATACAAAGTTCCAGCGAGCACAATATATATTTTTGGGGTTTTCGAGGGTGTTGAGTTTAAATATTTGACCACATTTCGCAAAATTTGATTGGTTGACCGAATTAGCATTTCATATTCTGCTGTGAATGCTATGTTAGAGTTAACATTAGAAAACATTTTGGATGTCTTGAATTATTTTCTCGTGCATATGGAAGTCAACGACTGTTTTCTGTTGAAAATCACCAATTCCTGACTACCTGAACAATGAAATTGCGCAATTTCGTACCATCTTAGCAAGCACAAAACACTTAATCTAGGGTTTTCCAGAGTGCCGAACGTGAATATTTGGTCCGTTTGCCTGGAAATATGGTTGTTCGTTTGTTTTCACTTTTATTAAATGAATTAAAATAAAATCGATTTGTTATTTTTTCTTCTTCAAAGGAAACTTTATCGTTTTTATTATGTTTATACATTTTCTTTTTTCTTATTAAAATTTACTTAACACTTCTTGATAAACATGACAGTGGTACACTAAAGTAATCAAACTGTTAATATGATTTTCATTTTGACGTTTGTTGTTTTTACTTTTCGCCTCGGCAGTTCCGGGCATTTGCAAGCGGTTATATAAATACAAAGTCATGGAATAATATAATTATACTAAAATTTGGATAAATCCTGAAAACATTACGTATATAGATGCAATGAAATTACAAATCTTCCAAAGAGAAAGCTTTCTTGGTTTTTGCTTCAGCTTCGAATAAGAAATTGCATATTAAATACACGAAAGAAGAATTCAAAGATAATTGAATTGTTTCAAAGACATGTTATTTATGAAACAGATTTTAATGCGGATTAAATTAAATAAACAAATTAGTTTAAATTCAAGAATGAAATAGTTAGAAAGAAATCAAAATTAAAATAAAACGCTGTACTTAATAATTTCATCAACTATCTGAATGTTTAAAAGACGTGATTAAGGAAGAAACCTTTAATTTAAAATAGAAAAAAAATAAAGTTTTCAATATAACAGATTTAATTGAAAGAATGTGTCTTGCTTTAACTGTATTAACAGAGTATTTTTGAAAAAATGCCAAGTCTTGCCAAGCTTTAAGAGTTCTATGTGTCATAAAAATGAAAAAAAATCCATATAAACAAGTCCTAAAATGCTTCCTTTCGAAATTAAAGTAATTTAAAAATTGGCTATAATTAAAGCCTTTACGTAATACAAATTAATAGCAGGCTATGGTTTTGACATATATTTTTTAATATGTTTCCAAGTGACATTTTAAGTGTTCTTTAATACGATAAACTATTACTCTAACTTAGAAATGGAGGACATTTATTTTGTGTATGACCGAGCCAACGGCAATGCACGTGAAGCTCAAAGACTGTATAGAGAAATTTTCAAACTGCTGTAACCTAGAAAAAAAAACATTTTCAGACCTGCTCTTATATGGAATTTTTCATTTTTTATGATCCATAGAACAATTTGAAGAGTCTTTCTATACTTTAATGGAGAGACCCTTCAAAAACATCCTGTATATTTAATGCATTGTAATTTGACATACATTTTATACGTTATAATTCATTGTTGTAGTATAATAAAATAGAATTTTATAAAATTATTATTTTCGTTATTAACAAAGCTTTCAGTCAGTCATTTATATAAGCCTGTAGTAATAAAACTTTTATTTATGTTATTATATATAATAGACTTCACATTTGAAGACTGTTTATATTTCAAATGTATTTTAAATAAAATACAAATATCATTTTTCTTCAAATAAAGTTAAAAAATCGGTTTAAAATTTCCAAACTTACTACAATCATCATTATATATTATTAAAGAAAAATATACTTTGACTGATGCATCAAAATGAAAATAATAAAAATAAAGAAAATAATTAAAGTCGTATTACTTAAATTAAATTAATAAACATAATGAAAATATTTAAAATTTAGGCCTATATTTATTTTAAAATAGTTATTTGGATATTTAATATTAAACATTAATTTTTATTAAAAAAATTTTGACTTATAATAATCTATTTTCATGACAAAATAACAACATTACATCAATAAAAGTGTATAAATCGTATGCAAAATTTGAAATTTTAACGGAGCACAAAGATAAATTATGTGGTCGTAAATTAAACTTAAAGAAGAAATTGAACTTATTAATTTTGAACAGAATCTAAAATATAATCTGTACAACGTTTGTTACAATTTCTAAGAACTTTCATTTTAATAAATCTGGACAATGCTACAAATCAAACAATTTATATCTTAATTGAACAATAATATTTTAAGTGGTAAATAGATGCGAAATTGCCCTTGAAAAGTTACTGGAGGATTTTAATAAAACAACCAAGTCGTTGGCCACAGGAAAATATTTATCTTACACATTTATTTTATTATTATTCACTTAATCAAAAGGGAACTACATTCGGAACAGGAAGATTGTTTTATTCTAAAATGTCTTATTAGATTGGTAGATAACATATGGAGGGAAATTACGATATATTGTCGGTAAGTATCAATGTTATATTTCTAGCATTAATATTATCTTCTAACATATGAGAGTATATCGATCGACAAAACAGAAAATTTAATTCTTAAAGTTTTAAAATTTCATGGAGTGCTTTATTAAAAAAATATATTTTGTTTATTAATTGAATTAAATTTTTTAAGTCGGGCCATAAAAGGTACTACATATATTTTATGACTTTTATAGCTTCTAAAAACAAAACTATTGATGTTAACCATTCGTTATAACTGTCATTTGAATAAGATTTATTGAATTTTATAATGATTCAAAAGAAAAAAACAAGTGTTGTTAATATTTTTGACTTTTATTTGTATCACGTCGCAACATAGCTTTTACTACAGATCTATGCCATATTATTCTTAATTTTCATTTTGTTTGATCATATTGCTTTCCATTTTCACTCATAACTAATTATACAGAGAAAGCTATTTATAATCAAAGTAACTTTTGTCAAATTAAACTTGATTTAAAATTTTTATTAAAAAATAAAAAAATTATTTCATTATTCTTATTCCATTTACATTTATCAAAGTAAACTAGAACTTGTAATTAAATAAATCTAAATTTATCAAAACTAAAAATGGAACGTTTTAGATAATTTTGATATAAATTTCAAGTTATCAGATTTATTCGAATTCTGAGATAATAATTGAGGTTATCAACTGGAACTGCATTAGACTTTATCAACTTAAAAATCAAAGGAAATGACATGCTTTTATGTATGTATAATTCATCACACATTATCTATTTATTTACAGAATATTTAATATTGGTCATGATATTAATATTAATTAATATTCAATATCATTATATACTTATTTTCAAATAATCAAATTTTGTAATATTCTGTTAGTCGAATGGCTAAAACGACACCAGACACATTAAGAGTATATGACAGTTATACTCATTACGGGTGCGCTTGATCCGCAATAAAGTCTGCCATCTTGGACGAAGGAGAAAGAACGATACTTTTATCCGTACCGTGATAAATTATAGGAATCCAGATCGACTTCAAACATGGATCCTATTACAACAGGTTGACATCTTACCGACTATCTGGTTAACTTTTGTTAAACAAGCTATGGCTATTATTATATGATATATAGAAGTCAATTCTCGAATTCCTCCGTAGAAAAATACAATTTTTTGCAATTAAAAAGCGCTACACAATAAGAGAATATGTTGCCATTGTAAAGGAAAGGATCTGAATGATTATAATTTGTCATATATTTTCGATTCATCCCACAACATCACCGCTGCTCAATAATATAGAAGTTTACAAATATAATTCTAAAAAAATTAATGTATAGTTTAAGCAGAATACTTTAATTCTTAAATTTGCAAATCTAATCTACAATTTTAATTAATTTATGCAAATAATTAATTACAAATTCGAAATAAAAGACCTATCATTAAAATCATTCGTTATTCATTTACTTCATTCTTCTTTCGAAAAAGTTAGATATTTTTTAACATAATATTTAAATTTTAAATGAAAATTAGTTAATCCGAATTTCTCAAAATTTTCTCTTAACATAAAATTTATCGTTATAAACATTTAAATCTTAAATATACTTTAAGTAATTTTCGAAAACTTTTAGTAATAGTTTAATGTATATTATTTAAACATGTATAAAAATAATTATTAAATAAAATTTTCGGTAAATTTCTTAATTGTTATTGAATTTAAACATCTTTTTATAATTTTCCATAAAGCATAAATTAAAATAGGCCTACAGTATTCACACATATCTAACTCTCGGCTATAATGAACTACGAGTACGAATAAAATAGCCGTAAGAGCGATGTTATTTTTTCCGGCTACAACGAACCCCTATGTAACTAAACAATGAACGTTATTGTTTATAACGAAATACGCGTACAAAGAATACTCTGGAGATAGTAGCCAACTAGGGTTCAGATTTTAGGTAAAATTTTTTCTCGGCAGAAAGATGGTGGTAACATGGAAGCATCTTGGTAAAAATTCCTTAGAAAATTTTCAAAATACTTAGAATTGCCTAATATGAAAAAGTTTTTCTTAATTTGCATATTTGTTTTTTGCTTTTTTAGTAACTAAGATGTGTAAATTTATTCACCCAAGTTTTTTAATAACAAATTTAAAAATATACTGAGCCAGTTTTTTAATTTCCTGAAGTTTACGAATAACTTTATGCTAGAGATCGTATAATTAACTTAAACTGTTTTTTTTATAACAAACGTTAGTAAATGGAATTATTTTCTAACCAATCTTAGCACAAAATTTAAAATTTTGAAATTCAACCTTAAAATATTTAAACTTAATTGTTGATAACAGAACAGAAATAAATTTTAAAATAAATGCACACATTCAAATCAGTGTAGCATCTGTCATAAGAATATATTTTAGATTAATAAA